AGTACAGGCGGATTTTGGCGTCAGTAGGTAAACGTCTCAGACTGCTTCTTATCTTGATGATTAAGTGTTGACCCGATGATTGTCTTGGTATACTTTGGATCAATCGTAAGACTCCTTGATTGTCGCTAAAGATTGCTAAGTCAGTGAACGGTGGATAATGGCGTCTAAATAACTCATTTGCTAATTCGGCTGCCTGGAGTACTCCCAGCAGTTCAGCTTCGTGATTTGAGAAATTCTCTTCAAATTTGAGTGTTAACGTTTTGGTAGCTGTTTTAGTGACCGCTGCTGCTCCTCCTCCTTCCGCGCTAACCGATCCATCCGTGAAAATGATCAGTGAATTCCTTTCTACCTCTTCCTCAACTTACTTGGGTATAAGTTCGTTAACTTCTTCTTTGGACTTCTCTAAGTTGTTAAGCTCCCCCAAGTTAGGCGTCCATGGTACAAGCGTGTGTGCGTGGATTGTTTCGATCTTCTCCTCCGCTAGTTTGCGCAGGGTAGCAGGTCGCAGGATGTCCTGAATTGGGCCTTTATGCTTGGTTGATGTAAGATTGAGCTCGTGTTTGATAAAAATTTGAGTTGGGTGATTGTCCGGAGCGGATAAGCGTTTTAAGAGGAAGTTATGGTGTCTTTTCGTCACAATCGTCAAAAGTGGTGTAATGTATGAGTCATGGCTTAGCATATCGTTTGAGGTACCTTTAAAAGCACCTAAGATGATTCTGAGCGCTGCGTTTTGCAGATGGGTAAGAATTTTATCTGCTTTTTTATGGCTTTTCTCAGTGAGCCATACTACACTACCATACAGTACCCGCGGTAATAGAACTGCCATCACTAGCTTCTTCACTTCGCCCGGTGATAGGCCCGAGTAGCATTTATTCAGCCTTTGGAGCTGATGTAATGTAAACTCGCCAGCTTTCTTGATATGTCGAAGGTGGTCATTAAAGAGTAGCTTAGTATTGAACCAAACTCCTAGCCACTTCACAGTAGATACCGGTTTCAGCGTAACGTCACCGAAAAGAAAGGTACCATCAGCCTTAATGCGTTTATTCGTAAAATGGATCAATTGAGCCTTCTTTCTATCAAAGATTGCCCCATGAGTATGGGCCCACTCTAATGATTGTCTAGTTTGATGAGAGAGATTAAACAGATTTGTTTTGATAGATTTTGATGACACTACATGAACCACGTCGTCTATGAATCCGATCGAGAAGGTCTTAGACATAGGCTCCAAACTTCCTGAGCTTAGGAGGGAGGAGTTATAGATGATATAGAGTATTACTGACAGAGGAGACCCCTGTGGTAAGCCGTTTTCGATCTCGAACTTTTCCGAAAAGAAGTCTTGAAGGCGAAGGTTAGTGGACCTATTAGTCAGGAAGCCTTGGATTTGGAGGAGCAGATAGCTGGGGCACTCGAGTTTGTGGAGGGTATGTAGAAGTCTTTCCCGGTGTACCAACGGATACGCAGACTTGACATCCAGGAATAATGTGGTAACTATTTCATCCTTTCTCCATTTTTCTTTAATCCACGAGGTAAGAATCAGAAGTGCATCATCTGTTGATCTTTGCTTTCTGCCTCCCATGTGTCCTATAGCGAGTTTGTTTCTGGACTCAGCCCAAAAAGTGACTCTGTTAGTGATGATCTTTTCTAGAATCTTGCCTAGACAGCTCAGAAGAGCGATGGGCCTGTATGAATTTGGTTCTGAGTACGAGTCTTTACCATTTTTCCTGATAATAATAGTGACCGCTGTTCGCCATACTCTAGGGAAATAGCCTAATCTGAAACAGGTGTTGAAGATTCGGCATAATTCTTCATCAATAGCTGGTAGGGATAGTTTAATGATTTCGTTGGATATTTGGTCGCCTCCGTTTGCTTTGCGATTTGGGAGGGTATCAATGATTCTCGTCAGTTCGTCAGGAATGATATCTGGGAAAATAAGAGGGTCTGGTTGTTCGGCTGTCGGGGTAATATCCGAGAGATCGGCCTCTATATGAGCGACTGAGGTACCGTAGTATAGGAGTTGAGCTTGTTCTTCTTTGTCGGTGGTGACAGATCCATCGGGTTTCTTTAGCGGGGCGATTTCCCCAGTAGCTTTAGGTTTCACGTATCTGAATGCCTTGAATGTATCATTACCGGAGCAGTTTGTAAGAAAAGTTTTCCAGTGGCGTGTCTTGATTTTCATAACTTGCTCTTTGAAAAAGTTTTGCCACTCTATATAGCATTGTCGTGCTTCAGGGAGCTGAGATCGCAGCCACCATCTCCGAGCCCGGTTTCGATTTTTGAGGATCGGGTTCAGCGTATCCTTGTCCCACCAGCTTTTGTATTTGTTGACGTTTGTTTTGACTTTTTTCCCTTGTTTTTGGGTTGATTCTAGGATGATGGTAGATAGCGTTGTGATAGCTTCATCCACGTCACTGATGGTGTTTAAAGCTGGTGGGAGGCGAGATAGCTGGGACGTTATTGAACTATGGAGGGAAGTAGCATCAATGTTAGTGATGTCAATTGAAACATGAGAACTCAGAGGCGGGATTATAGAAAAATCCAGAAAAGTTTCTATTGGGAAATGGTCTGAGGCTAGGGCTTTGGTCAGTACTTTACAGCTCAAAACCTTTCCTACGAGGTTCCAGCTAGCCCAAATGAGATCTATGGTGGTGGCCTGTGTACCCGTCGAGAAACGAGTTGGAGTACCTCTGGGAGAGGTGAGTTTGAATCCTTTTGAGCTAAGGAGGTGAATCAGTTTCTTTGCTTGGCTGTCCGTCGCGGAGTAGCCCGGAGGATTCCAAGAATGGTGGTGGAGGTTCGAGTCGGTGGTGATTATGGTTGGGATTTGGCGTTTGTGGTGCCTGTTCAGCCAGTGCTCAAGAGAAAGGAGGCCTCTCAGGGAGTTTGGCGGGTTGTACCAAGAGATGATACAGAGTTTGGTTTGTTTTGAGGAAACATCTTGAATGTCGATTCCTAATATAATGTCGGATAAGCTGGGTAGAATCGAAATTTGGGAAGTCGGAATGAGCTTAGATACATATAAACATATTCTAGGTCTGTCTGACCATGCAGTGGGGTTGTAATCGTACGCCGAGAAGCAATTCCACGCTTCATGGTGAGGGAATGGTAATGAATGACTATTAAACCACGGTTCTTGAAGGGATAAAATGGAATAGTGTGTGTAGGTGAGCGCTTCGTGAGTGAGTTGAATGGAGTTGTGGCAGTTAAAATGTAGAACGGAGAGTTTGTCGATGGAAAGGGGGATATCGGATGTAGTGCTGAGACCGTCTTCAGTGTTGTCTTCGCTTTCAAGGTATAGGGGTGATGGTGGTCTGTTAGATGTCTGACGGATGTGATTATAACTCATCTTCAGTTGTGGGGTGAGCGGTAATCTTAAACTGTGTGTTTCGTAGTGGGCAATTCAAACTTTTAGGGGAATGGTTATATTTGGGGGTGAAGCGATCAATCTTACAACTCGTTTTAAGACTGTCAAAACTGTAGCAGCGTGCGCATACTTGGTCAGAGTCGTTGTTTGCACACTCTCGTGTGCTATGTGCGTCACCGCATTTAGCGCAATTTGGGTTGTTGGAGCAAGACGTGTGAGTGTGGTAAAGGTCTAGGCAGTTAAAGCACATCGTGGGGCCTTGTTCGTAATGTTGACTTTTGATTCTGTGGCAGTCGGCGTACAGTCCTCCTTTTTTGATCTTGTGGGCGAGTTCTTTGTCTAATAGATTCAGTACTATCGTTCCATATTTCTTCTTGGTGTCGACCGGATCTTTGATCCATCTAACGGAGTGAATGAGCTCTAGTGGGATGTCGTTTTCAATACTGAGCATTTTGGGAAAATCTTTACTGTTGACGTCGATATCAGCCGGTACAAAATTGAAAAGAACTGGGTATCTGGCTTGAGCTGTTTCAAAGTCTTTATGGGTGATCTTAGTCCAGATGTGCTTGTTCTCCAGTAGCCAGTTTTTCATCAATCTATTGTCGATATTCATGAGGATGTCTCCTGACTTTAGTATCTCAGCTCCTCGTACTTTTACTGGGGTATCGTTTACTTTCGCGTCCAAGGAATGGAGAGCTGAGTTGATGCTTCGCACAATTTCTGAGCTTTTCATACCTTTAAAAGGTTCTAGTCCGGGGGTTTTATGAATAATTAGAGTAGCTGCTTTAAACTTGTTTATGTCAGCATTTTTGGGGGGGGATTTCGGAACTTTCTCTGATTGGCGTTTCGGATAAGGGTTTGTCCAGGCATGTGGTTTAGCGGGGGTCTGTTGACTAACGGTCGAGGGTTGGCCTACGTGGAGGGGGTTCACTGCTCGTGTGCCTAGTATCGTTTCCTTGTTTTTCTCGGCTTCTAGTCGATCAATCTTATCGTTGAGTTTCTTGATAGTATCCATAAACATTGAAAGCATTTGAATGACCGTTCGTAGTAGTGTCTCATTAGAGCCTGAGTTGCTATTTGCTAGGGAAGTTAGTACATCTTCCATTGCATTCGGGTCGATTTGCTCCTTATTCGGCCTTGGATTTTTCGGGTGAGGGGACGGGTTATCTTCGTCGATGCCCTGAGGGCGTTTCGACGGCATTTCGAAGTTGGTTGAGGTGTGTTGCGATGAAGTTCTTGAAAAAATAATGATTCTTGATGTGCAAATTCTATAAAGATGATCTGTGAACCGAAAGACTTGAAAGGGCTTTAGAAGGTCTTAGAGGTTCATCAAGAGTCTGAGAACCATACGGCCCGGGCCAGCGGCGCTCGGAAGTGTACAAGGTCAACTACATATGGCAAAATGACAAACGATGTAGAGGGAACGACTCGACGCCTCAACGCCGCCACGAGGGATTCCAATGAGTTTAGCACGATGACGATGAGGACAATTTTTTTATCCGGCAGGAATCTTTCCTTATAAAAGGTCATACCTAATGATCACGCACTCTGAATATTTCATCAGTAAATAAATAAACAAATCTACATCGAGAACTTCAGATTATCAACGTGCTGTTTTAAACCCAAGACTACTATCTTCGTCCATTTAATGAAAATGTTTAAATCTCTGAAGCTCTTCACTACCATCACCATTGTCGTGTCATTGGCTTTTGTAGCAAAAGCAGATTACAACGATCCATCATACACATGCGATATAGCTTGGTCCGGACCGGATAAGGGTGAGTTCGAGTTATCGAATCATGCTCATCACCCTCGCCGCCACTGATATGCTCATGTTCTACAAATCAATAGTGTGCCAGACCCCAGCACAGGTCTGGACTTGTACCATCTGTCAGTCACCTCGGGTTCTAAACATATCGATGATGCTGAAGTATCATATGTTAAAGACCTAACGCACCTTCTGTTCATCAATATAGGTTCGGCACCTCAGCTCATAGCCAGTCCGGACAATTTAGATTTGCATTCTTACAAAATAGATCGTAAGTCAACTCTGATCAAAACTCTCGTCTAAACATGCACACTTCTGGCTATCCCCATAACTTGAATATGTATCTGCAAATCCAAAAAAATATGTTTTTCTTCAACTCTTGATGAACATCCAATCTATCACTAATACACTCGTGATTCTAGCCAATAATAGAAGCAAAATGAAAGTATTTCCATACAAATCTTACAATGACCCGGTGAAAGGACCGACTACTACAGATCTAAAGGCTCGATCAGTGGACCCAGCCTACGTGATCTTCGCGAGTACGTACATTGTACATTTGGCTATATCATGCACTTTTATCACTGATTAGCCTTATGAATTCTCGGTGATTTATTTAACCTTTGTACTAGCTTGCGACGTCAAGTACTGCAAATGATGTAATCTTTCATGTATAAATCGAGTAACTTTACTTTTATCGTCCGAATTAGCTTATCTAGGCTTATCTTGATGGTCTTGTCTTCCTTTTGATCATATCGAAGAACATTTGTTTTGTGATGATGTAGACTTTGCTTTGACACATTTTTTGAATCATAAAAAGTGATGAAGTGTTGATGTCGTAGAATATTTAAATGTCCGATGGCCGAACAAAAGTTCATAAAGAGCTCAAAAATCTCTCAAAGTCTTGCCTTTTTGAACCTTTTTGGGACTCGTGGCCCTCAAACCAAAGCCCTGCTGGTGTTATATGTCATTGCTCCCCACCCCTATGGCTGCATTGGATAATTCCTCACTTCCTGCTCTAACACAAAAGTCCCCTCAAATCAGTTCATTATCACAGCCCAGAGGACAATAAAACACCTCAAGTATGATATTCTTATCTTACTTACATAAGTCCCCTCAGTGCCCAGGTGAAAACAAAACAAACCCCAGAGGCACAGAGGGGTCGGTCCTATGTGCAATGTGGAGTGTCTGAGTGAAAAAATAAGTGACTTTTTGGTGGTGGACAAAGGTCTAGAATCAAGAAGAAACTTTTATACAAACATGGAATTCTGTGTTGCTTGGAAATCTCAAGTGGACTGTTTATACATGTTTCTTTAACCACCCAGCAAGACTTTGAAGTTTGAACCTAGATGAATTGAAAGATGTTTGAGTGAGCAAAAAGACCACCTTGGATCTTTGAACAATCTTGAGCACCAAAATGTTTGTTATGTATATGTACACTTTGACATTTCTCAAATTTTTCTCTTAGAGTTTTACTCTGACCTACAAGATTTCAAACTGCCTTTGAGTACAATTTGATCTGCTGATTTTGAAGGAGAAAGATGTACAAGAAGCAGGAAAAGCAACATAAGATTTCATAATAATTATGAAAATCTTTTGATTGAAGACTTTTTGACATCACCAAAAGGTCAGCTAACCTGCTACCAAGATTCGAAGCACAACTCTGTACGTACCTTGTGTCCCTTCATCTTTATTGTATCTTTCCCCCTAGGATTCAAGATGACTTTGTTAAGTAGATATTAGGATCATGTGAATTTCTCAACACTTTGAAAAATATGTTGGCAAAAGGGTTTTTACTGTTATCACTAAGATCTGGTCTAGAGCACAAGAGAAAAAAAAGTAAACCTATAAAGGGAAGTAAAGCACATTAATCAAGAGATCAAGAATTGGGTTTTGAATCTTTAAAAAGAATGTTGAATTGTTGATTTCCATAACTTGAATTTGACTTTTCCCATGGACTCATTTTTCATTCATCACTTTTAAAGACCACTTTTTACATTTTCAAGTAGAAAAGGTTGAACTGAATACATGCAGATTTCTCAAATGACCAATTGAATATTGTTCCCTACACAATAGACAATTTGATGGCTTTGTGTAGGTGGCCTTCATGGACTGTTTTGTGATTTAACCAATGATAAAATAAACCAGGTTGATGTTCAATTCAAGCCATGTGATCTTTCTAAGAGACTTATTCATTGAAAAATATCACTTTTTGAGTTTTCAATTTATACTTGAGTCTTTTTATTTTTTGTATGTAGCCGTGATAATGGTAGTTGTCCTTTCCCGACACCTCGCCGTGTTTTGAACTTGACTAAAAACCAAACTCTATATGTAGAGTGATGAAAGAAAAGATGTGAATGGAATTAAGGTAGAGTGACTGTCACCGATCAACAAATCTGTATTGTGAAAGCTAAAATGTTGATCACAACTCAGCTGACAGTTTCCTTTTCAAGGTTTTCCCATTGTGACTCAAAAGCTTGAAAATAAGGATTAAGTGTGTCGATAGAGCCTTGTGTAGAAAGAGCCTTGATAGGTAGTCAGAAGACTTGAGAGGTTCACTTGATCTGATCTCCAAGGTCAGATCAGATTGATGAAGAGAAGGGTACATAGCAACCCAACGAGCAGGGTAGGATCATGAATCAAAGGGAGATGAGGATGAGACTGATGATGATGATGAGAATACTTAAAAGAAGAAAACGATCACTACAAATTAAAATTAAAATTAATTTCACACTTTTACATAATTGATTGGTTATCGAATTGCTTAAAACGAACAAAACGAAGATGGTCAAGAAGTAAAAACCATCAACTCATCACCATCTCATTTCATCCATCAACTAACTAACCAACCCAACCAACCAACCAACCAACCAACTCACCATCAAGATAACAAGATAATCAACTCATCGTCTTCACAAGGCTGAAGCTGAAGCTGAAGATGCCATCAATCTTCAAATCAAGATCCAACAAATCAAAACCAAGCTCAACCCCACTCAAAGCCACTTCATCATCTTCATCATCTTCAACTCATTCAAACCATCTAATCAATTCATCTCAGTCATTACCTTCACTTCATACTCAATCAAATCAACTTTCAATTTATAAACCAGCTCACATAGATGACTTTGGTAGACCTATCTTAAATCCAACGCCTGCTTTTACTTTAGCTTCTACTTCTACTTCTTCTCATCAACTTTCTAATCATCATCATCCATCAGCAGATCAAGCTCAAGAACTTCAACTTTTATATGGTTATACTGGTCTGTTTACTCAAATCGAATTAGATATCAAAACTACTTCTCAACTCATCAAACTCATCTCAAATCAACTTAAATCTAGACCATTAGATTCTCCTTTAATCTTTTCTTCACATGCTCTTGATCTTTCAATCGATTCAACTCATTCTTTAATCAGATCCTGTATCAATCGTCATCATTCTCATTTCTTAAGAGATCTTCAAATCTCTTCTCCTCATAATCTTTCGGCTTTTCTTAAATGGGTCTTAGCAAGATATATTAATCCTCAATCTCAACACGGTTTATTAAATTGGTCTAGTTATTTACTTTGGAGGCAAGCTGAGAATGGTTAGTTTGATTTCATTCTTTTTTTACAGATTATCTTAACTCATCAAATCTTTGTTTCACAGATTCAAACTATCCACCAGATTCGATTACTACTCAACTTCTCAACACATTAACTTCAGACATCGCTGAAATTCTAATCACGCTGCTTGATCTCTTCTCATCTGTTGCTGCATATTCTCATCTCAATGGAATCACTATTCACAAATGTGGTGCAATCTTTGGGTTAGTCCTACCATCATCTTCATCACTAGAGAACTACATCTGATTCATTTTGATTTTCTCTTTTAGGGCTTTCATCTTTGGCTTAGAAGATGATTTACCTTTTGAACAAACTTATTCAAATTGGTTACGTTATGCTCATGCAACTGAACATATGGTTTTGGCATATGTAAGTCATTCATCATTATTCTCACTATCCAATTCGAAGGCATTGACATACTGTTTCCTTGGCCAGTTACGTGATCAAAAAGCCAAGAGTACAACAGGACAAATTGCATCTCGATTAGAATCATGTATCAGATCATACCCTAAAGTGATTCCATCTTTAACTTCTACACATCCATCAGCTAGGTTAGAATCAGTAGCAAGGTTTCGTAGAAATGTAAGATTTTATAATAAAAACTTGATTCAAAACGCATCGAAATGGGACGTGAAAGGATCCAAGACATGGCAACGACTCTTATCTGATCATCATTCATCACCTAACCTGAATTCATCATCATCTAATCCGACTCATAAACAAAACAAACCGATTTTCACTAAATCTTATAAACATTTACTTAACATTAGTTCAGAACAAGAATTAGAAGGATTAGATGAGAATGACCGACATGAGATCGATTTGGAAACCCAAAGGTTTAAAAGTTTAGTCGAAAAACAATGGTCAGGATTTATAAGTAAAGGATTTGACGATGGAGTGATTGGATCATCAGAAACGGAAAAGAAATTAGAATTTGATTTAGATGAGACTGAAAAACAACAGAGAAGACAAAGAAGAGAAACGATGGATTGGGATTCGTTTGCTGGATCTGGATTTGCAGGACGTGAGACGTTTACAGCCAAAGAGTTATTATTTAATACAACCGTTTCGAACAAGGTGAATAATTGGCCAAGTGAAGAAAAAGATTTAAGTAAAAAGTTGAATAAAACTCATAAAATCTTACCTGAATTTCCATATGATATTGAACCGATTGAAATCTCACCAATCTTGGTAGATGATAATTTTTTTGAAGCTTGGGTTGACGCTTTGATTGCTTCTGGTTGGACACGTGATGAATTAAAAGAAGTTAGTTGGGCATTAATTCAATATAAATCGAAATTCAATAATGATACTTCTTCACCTAATTCGATACTTTCATCAAATTGTTTAAGTAATGATACAAGACATGATGAGATGTGGGTTTTGTTTGAAGAAGTCGTTCCTGAAGATTATCGAATGATGTTAATGAAGAATGGAGGTGATAAATCGAATGCGAAACGTAGTAGAAGGATTTCATTTTTAAAAGCAGTGATCACTCGTAGTCATAAAGATCATAATAAGAAACCTGGACTTCACTCTCAGCTTTCTACATCTTCTTCACTTAGTGTGATTAATGAATATGGAGGACAACAAATGACCAAGAAGATTACCCTTACACCTGATTTACCTTCTTCGTCATCTTTCTCTGATGTCAGTTCAATGATCTCTCATTCAAATAGTCAACATCCATCAGAAAGAACAATGGGAGATCCTAATCGACCCACTGCTGGCAGTGGTGGTGGCGGTACAGGTTTTATGGCAGAACTTAGAGCAAGAGCCAAGAGACGACAACAGAATTATAATGTTGGTGGTCAAGTTTCACACCCTAATCAACATCAACACCAACATCCACATCCACCAAATCAAAGAGGAGAAGAATGGGTAAATGTCAGAACTGATGCAGATTCGAATCCGATCCCATTAAGACCACATAACCCAACCCCACCTAGTATCTTATCATCTTCTAGATCAATCACACCTATTCAAGATCAAATCAATCCGACTCATCCTATCGGTGCTCATCATGAACAGAAACGTAGGGTGGTACCTAATCGAAAAGAAAGTTTGGTGAACTCTTTTCATTCGGATTGTCTTAGTCAAGAATGTTTGACTGAAAACGATAGTCACAGAGGTAGTAATCATAGTAGTAGTGTTACTAGTCTTGATTTATCTGTAAGTCATGGATGATTTCTTTTTTTCCTTTTTGTTTTTTTTGAGCTGGGGAAGATGTAGGATGGGTTGGGAAGCAAAAGGAAAAGGCAATTGGATGAATGGATCAAGTTTATTTTGATGGGTCGGATTTTGCATATATATATCTGTGCGTTTATCAGTACCTTCGAAAGAAAGATCGAAAGAAAGGGGTGAAAATGTATTAATATGGATATGTGTTTGTACTTGTATGTGTTTGTTTTTTAATCTTTTGGAAAGTGATTTGTTTTTTGTATTGATATTCTTCTTTAAAAATGTATCAATTTCAAACAAAAAATCTTTTTCTATTTTCTTCTCATTTTCTTGAAAGATTTCTTTTCTTTTTCTTGAAACAAATAAACATCTTAATTTTTTAAAAAAAATAAATCAAATTGAAATTTCCATGAGAGACTTTTTGAATTGTTTTTTTGTTTCCTTTTTCTGCTTTTTCTTTCTTGTTTTATTGATTGAGAGGTTGTACACCCAATTCTTCTTTGATTTTTTTTCACTTTGATTATAGGATTTGGATGAACAGAGAGAGATAGAGGGAAGGAAGGATGTTGGATGGAGGAGAAATATCTTTAAAGAATTGAAAAAGAATTAGTTGATTGATTTTTTTGTTCTGGTTGATTTTTTTGATAGGTACGATCTGGAGAAGAACAAGAAACAGGAATCGAAAAGAAAAGTTATGGAAGTATGACACATCACAAAGAAAGAAAACCTGTTCATGGAAGATACGAAGAAGAAGAAAAAGAAGACAATCAATTGAATCCATCCATTAAATCTTTGAAAGAAAACCCCAAACCGATTCATGAACCCTTAAAACAAAATCATACAATTGAAGGAGTTGATCCAAGATTGGTTATGATCAAATCGAATTCAAAGATTTCATTTCCAAGTGAAGGAATTTCAAGTAAACCACTTCAAAGAAATTTAAATTCTAGTCAAGGAAGTTCCAATAACTCATCAACATCATCCAATCCTACTAAACTTTCGCCAGCCAAGAATTTAATCTATCCTGGGATTGGTAGTACTAATACTACTTCAATGAATCCAAAGTTAAATTCTGGTCAAGGAAGTCCTAATAAACCGATTGCGAAGAACTTGAGTGAAAATGTTTCAAGAAATTTAAATCAGTTGAATCAATTCAATTCAAGTTCATTACCAAACAAACCCATCAAACCGACTCTAGAAAGTTCCACTCCTAAAATAAATTCACTTTCACCACCAAGAAGTTTAAACCCAAGTCTTCCAGGACGTCAATCACCTAATTTACCTAATCGATATCTAACACCCAAGAAATCAAATTTAAAAGATGATGCTAAGGTCTTGAATTCTTCGGGTTCTTTAGTTGATTCGAATTTGAGTTTTAGAAATGAAGAGATGAAAAAAAAGATGATCGAATTGAAATCGAAATTGAATTCGAATCCAACATTATCAGATCCTAAGTTAAAGAACTCGTTGAGTGAATCGATTAAACAAGATATTAAACCGATTGAAGTTTTTGAAAAATCTAAAGTCCAAAAAGTTTCAAAAAGTAAGTCATCTCATTTCAGTTCTTTCCAAAACAAATTCACAAAGACTTGAACTGATTTTTTCTGGGGGGCGGTGTTTGGGTATAGTTGTAGATATGTTTGAGAAATCTGAACCTGGTTTAAGTTATAGTTCTACTTCAAGTTCAAGTACGTTGATGAAAGTTAATAAACCATTAACAGGTAAAGAAAAACAAGTGATTTCGAAAGTTGAGGAATTGATGAAAAAACAAGAAGTAGTAGAAGTCAAACTCAATGGATTTGATAATGATGATGAACTGGATGATGAACAGTTTGGTAAAGGTTCGTTGGAATCTATTAAACCTTCGGGAATTCCGGTTAGACAGTTTAAACTTTCTAGAGTTGGTGAAGAATAGAATTCAGTTTATGATTTTGGTTTCTTTTTGAGGATTTTTTTTTATCGAGGGTTTTTTTCTTTGTATTTGTATATATATGGAATGGATTCTTATTTTTTTTACATCATTTCTCAAGGAATTTTGGTTTCGTTTTTTTTACTTATTTATTTATTTATGGACAATTAAATCGGTTTTGAAAGTTTCTTTTTTTTTGTATATCTACATACTAGTTTTTTTTTCATGAACTTTTTTTTACTTTAAAGATCTTACTTTAATTCTTTTTTTAGGTTTTTTTTTCCATGATTTTCTTTTTTTTTATCTTCCTTTGATTTTGATTTTGCTTTGCTTTTGATTTTTTTTTCATTCTTTGGAAGGATTAATAAATTAATAGATTGACAATTTTTTATTGTAAGATTATTTTCTTTAATTGTTCAATTCTTTAAATTTCATGGAACCTAAACCTTTTCCCACTTTTTTTTTTCTTTTTTACATTTTCTTTGGAGATTTTTTTGAATTGAATTTGATCTTTCTCTTTTGTTGAGAAACTCAACATGAATTTATAAGTTTTCCTAAGTTTTCTTATGTAAACCAAAATCAAAGGTTTATTTATCAAGAATTTGCAGAATTTTGAGTTCATAACTATGAGAATAAAATTGGTTACAAAGTCTTTTGATTTGCACCCTGTTAATCAGACAGCTTCCACACTCAGTTATCCAAAACCAACCACATTAATAAGACTTGATTTCAATGTTTTGTTAGTAAATCAGACTGTACATATTCTGCAATGTGTGTGAAAATAGAGGAACCCAACACAGCTCTATGGGGTGTAGATCTTAATATGAATCTGAAAAGACTTGTGCAAAATTATGAAATTGAAAGATTTCAAGGTTGATTAAATGGTAAGTGGGAGATTTGTTGTGAATTTGATGGTCAAATTTAAAAGCTGTGTTAATGCCAGGTATATGGGACAGCTATAGACAGCTCATACTTGTCAAGGACTCTGGTATGCTGCTTGTGTATGTTGTCTAGGCGGTTTACATGGCCCATTGATAAATTGTGATACTCTAACAATATAGCTTGATCTTACTTCTAAGAAGGCTGTGAGTATACTATACAATACTATAGTGTACTATACTCTACTATATTTATGGGATACAAAGTTAAATCTGGGAGTTTTTTCCCAGTTTCCCAGTTTCCAAACTACAGCCAAAAACACAAACTGGGAAACTGGGAGAACATGGGAAAGTTCCAAACACAGCCAAAAACAAAAACTGGGGAACTGGGGAAAAATCAGAAAAAATCCCAGAATTAACTTTGTATCCCATAATCTTAAGACTCAAGAGGACTCAAAGCAATACTGCAAGCGCACCACACCATATTGTGCTTGTGGTGTGGTTGTGCAGTGCTTTTTGGCGCCGCAATAGCAGCGCTATACATTGCGGTGCCAGAGCACCGCAACCCGGGCTCAAAAAACCCGTTGCTCAGAAACTCCCACCGCAATTGTGGTTAGTTTTTGATGCTTATTTAGGGCAATATTGCTCATTTTCCACAATATTTGCCCTACCGCTCCGCAACCTTGAGATAGAAAAAAACAATCTCATTGCAGAGTGGTTGTGGAGCGTGATATTGTGCTGAATACACAACACAATGGAAACAGGTCAAAATCCATTGTGTTGCGTAGCGCTTGCGGTGTTGCTCAAAGCAGCCAAATATCATGAGGACACACACAAGGAGTCTACATTGGTTTAGGTTATGGAGTTCAAAAGTCCTACTAAATCTTGAGAAACTTCTGGATGTCACTTCTTGTCTCTTCTTCAGCTGGTTTCTCAAATCTTGATTCTCCTGAGTATAGTGAGAAGAGTCTTGTATAGGCATCTTATATTGGTCAGTGTAGTATAGGTCCAACTATACCAGTATACTTCTCAGTACAGTATAGTTGAGCTATATCATACCTATGGTATAATGTAATGGTATAGTATAGTGGCAGCCTTGCTTCTAAGAATGGATCAAAAACTGGACACATAATCACCTGTTTTGATTTAAGATTTTGTTTATATCCCCAGTATCAGGATCCATTCTTGACTTCTAGTCACATAGAAAGTTTGGCTTTGGATTAAATTAAAGGCCACAATGTAAACATATTTGGACCACTTGTTTGCCCTTCCCACTCAAAGTGCCAATGATATAAGGCTGCAAGTATGTGTAGTTTTTTTTCAACAACTCTTCCTGTGGGGTAAAGTGGGTTTCATCATTGAGGGAAACTGAAAAAGTTGAGAAACTATGCAATGAGACTTAAAATCTGGATTATTCACACCAGAATGCAACATTTTAGTCATAAGTCCCTCTGGGAGGTCATGGCCACAGCTGTGTGACAGGGCTTTGTTAATGTACTGATCAACCTTTGTGTAAGGTTGAGGATCACTTGAGCTCCATTCAGATGTCACTTGCAGGCCAAAACCTAGACTGATCTATAGCAAAGTTGTATTTAACTGGAATAGATCTCCAAACCACAATAATGTATCAGAGAAGAACCAACAGATAGAGAAAGAAGGAAAGAGAAGGTTCAGGAGAGAGACCATACCTAGACCACAATGAGAGATCAGAGAAGAATCAACAGATAGAGAAAATAATGAATGAAGCGGAGCATTGGACAACATATAGGCCCTTCCCACACAGATACCACTGATATGCTACAACTCTGTAAGCTCCGTCCTTACAGCATACAAGTACATGGTGTGTATCTTGAATATATACTGAGATTTTCTGGAGGAAAAAATGGTGGGATTGAAGATGTATGAAGGCTTGGTAGTCAACTTTCATGATTACAAATCCTGGGAGTAAAAATTTTCAATTTCTTGAGTTTTTCATTGATCCAATTGTCCAAATTTATGACTTTCTCATCTAGACACTGAAAATATTCATGAAATGGAATTGTTAAGATGAGAATGTCTGATGAAAGACAATCATCCCATTTACCCACAAATGCCCCTTTCTTGATGAAAGGGTTTGAGGTCTTTTGGTTTTGAAATACATCTTTTACCTCTTTTAACATCTCAAAATTGATACCTACATGTGTTGCAATCAACTCCTCCCCCAAACTGATCTCATTTGGACTTTGTGATTGTCTTCTGGTATAGTCATCATCTGAGCCTTTGTATGTTGTCCTGGACACTTTGGCCAACAACTTCAGACGTGATTGGAATAATTCTGATAGCCAGTCGCCTGCATAGCATAGGTGATCCCTAGTATACTCCAATGTCCAACTCTCTAGAGGTTCAGCCCCCAGAAAATCAGGAGAATAATTTGTTCCAGTCAACAGTTTTACCAAAAGTTCCACTTTGGATACAATAGAACTTGTTTCTGCTGTTTCCCAGGATACCTCAGCTGAGTCTAACTCCAAGATTTTGGAGACCCAATAAAGTAGGGGGATATTCATTCCTTGACTTGCCAATCTTTTTTTCAGAGTATATTTCAAAACTCTAGAGTCCTTGTACTCTGTGCTCCCAACTGCAAGGCCAAAGGTACCTAAACGTTTCATCAACTTTCTTTCAAATAAAACTTCCAATCTATCCCATTCATCATCATCCACAAAATTCACCAATTCATTAATTTCTTTCATCTCATCTTCTGTAGATGTTTCAAAGGATGGGGATTGATGATTCACTTTCAAAATCATAGCAATCCTCCTAGCTTCTTTACTAAACGCTTTGCCTTGATTCTCCCAATTTCTTTTGATTCTGAGCTCCTGACATTGATGTCCAAGAGATGCAAATCTTCTGTGGGCCTCCTGTTCACCTTTTAAATAAGGACGGATTGATGAAAGTGTATCTACCATAAGCTCATCAACCTTGAAATTCCATTTATCTTCTAGTTCTTTGAATGTCCTCCATGACAGTTCTACTTTTACATACTTAGATTGATCATGTAATTGTAGAGTTTTTTTAAGGAGTTCCAAAAGCCCTTGACGCTGTGGATGCTCTTTTGTGTCTTTTGCTTTCAGTGTTGATATGGCCTCAAACTCCTTGTTCATGAGTTCAGCTTGTATCTTAGAAATCTCACCATGCAAAACATTTTCTGGTTTTGATCCTCCCGGTCTCTTCCCTTTCTTGGTTTTCACTCTCATCTTTATATTTGATGGATATTCACTGGCTTGGAAATTCTTGCCTACCAAAAGACTATCAACTGATGCTACTTCTTTGAGAGGAGAGGATTTGAAATCCAATAATCTTTGTTCCTTTTGAGTTTCTTTGTCATCAGGAGAGACTTGACTAAATTCTGTAGGAATCTTTGTCTGTGATTGAACATCTTTGTTAGCCTCTGGAAAGCTAGGCCCTTCTTTTGGATCAGTATTTGATACATTGCTGTTCTTAGACACCCCATTACCACTTTGACCCTTATGGTCAGCTTCAAGACTTTCAGCTTCAGAAATATGTTGTCTAGTATCACAGCTTTTAATCAGCTTGTTGTCTTTCAACCCTGTAATAGAGGTACTCTTGTTTTGTGGATATGGTATGCTTTCTGATTCATCATTCTCATTCTCAGTCTCATTCTCATTCTCATTCTCATTCTCATCCTCATCATCATGTGATTTGTTTTTGATCAAGTTCTTTTGCTCCAAATACAAGGATTGATCTAGCCCTGTAGCATTTGGGGAATCATAGGTAGCTTGATCAATGAATGGCTTCTTATTGGGTCCTATGTGGGTGCTATGATTCTCTGATGTGTGGATGTTGTCCACATAATTGTGAATCTTGTAATATTTTTTGTTTCCCCTCTTCTTCACAGTCTCCCACACTTCTGGATTTGTTACCTTTATGTACCTGTGGTCTGTTGGAGAGTCTCCAACTTTGGTATCAATCTTCCTTTCCACAGCTTCTTGTCCTAGACTTTCTATACTGCCTTCAACATTTGCATCTTGCTGAGTTGTTTTGGTCTTGACTTGATCAATAGAGCTATTACAAACCAGGCTGGTTTTCATATTAGAATAAAGCTTGATGAAATCTCTCAAGCGTTTTTGAGCTTCCATCTCATCAAAAAACCCCGCTTTGAAATCTCTAGATAATTCAATCCATTCTCTACCCACTCTTCTTGGGCTATTGATGACTTTTGACACCTCTTCATAACTCTCTTTGTCCAATACTACATGAAAGTCTTTGTTTCTAAAGGATTTTCCCAAGATCTCAAACATTTTTTCTTTGAATGCAACTATCCTGTCTTTCAAAACTATGTTGTTATGACTAAGGGATTTTTCTTCTTTTTCATTTAGAAATGGCTTGTGATGTGGCCCAGTTTCCCTCCTCATATCTGTGCCTGGTGTCTTCCATCTTGGTTTCATAAAAATTAAATGTATATTGTGAAGAGGTTTGTAGATAATTTTGAATTTGATCCAAGACCATGTGAATGCAATGTCAGTTTGAAAACCAAAAAGTCAGCCATCAATGAAAGAAATGAGTACACCCACCCTTTTTCCTTGAGGGCATTGGAAAACAGTCTCTGTTTTTCAGGAATATGATGGGATGGAGTATTGCTTGTTACAGAACCCACTGCATTGCCAAGCCCATAGTCTGAAGACTCATGGCCCACAGCACAATTGATTGATAAGTGTTTTTTGACTCCAGCTCTTCCATGTAGTACTTCATCAGCCTCAATGGCTGGCCCAAGCTGTTCCACACAAGAAAATGTTTTTGTGCAATAGAGAGAGATGAGGAGGACTCTTGAGATGTAAGCCATCATGATATGTGGGTTCATTTTTCTATTGAAAACTGAAATGATTGTGTAATTTTCTTTGAAGGATAACTTGTAACTTTGTGTTTCCAATTTTTTTTGATGAAAACTCAATCTTGGAGTTGATACATTGATCATTCTTGTGACAGGTTACAGTTAAATATTGCTCTGACAATCAGATCATAGGCTCCAGTAGCACAGCATAATGAAAGTTCTGAAAAGACATATAGATCACCTATGTCTGGAGCTGTCAATGTCATTGGTCTAATTTCATGGTGTTTAGTGGATTCAATCACATGCATGCATCATTCTATCTTAAACAAGTTGCTATCTCTGTTATACATGAGTACCTCTCTTTTTGAAAAACAACATATTGTTAGAGAGAGATAGCTATAAAGATAAACAATATCTTGATGTCCTTGACACATATCTAAATCTATTGAGAATGATAGAGGAAAACCTGAGAGCACAGGTCCCGTATTAGACTCCAAGCTTTTTGCTGGTCTAAGACAAAAACAAGATACTGACCTAATCAAGGTTCAGTGAAAACAAAAGAAACCAGAAAACTAGATAGAGACTAGAAGAATAAAAATGATAAGGAAACTCTCTCTACCTGTGATCTCCAAAAGAAAGGAGTGCACATGGAACAGATAAGATTAACAGACAATTAAGTTGATAATCTTGGGAATAAGGAAAAAGAGATAGTAAGGAAAAGTTAGTATGAGTCATGTTGTAATCTTTGAATAGTCATGGGTCTTACCAATTGTTTTCAACCAGGAAAAGAACCACAAAAGAGGAAAGCTGATAACAACAATCAAAAGAACAATAGAGAAACTAAATTCTAGATCCCCCTTGATTCATCATTTACCCCTTCCTTCCACATCTAATTTCCACTAGTTGAAATACCAGTAACACACATGCATCTCACAGCTTAACCCACTATTTACCAGGATCTTTGACCAACTCACATTACACTATCATAACAATAGTCAGTGGTTTTGTTACCTTCACCACTATAAGGGCGCGTTCACTTAAGGAATTTCTGACCAGAAATCACATTCTGTAAATTTTTTAATGTCAAAATGAAACATGCACCACCAAATAGACACTTTAAATTTTGCAGAATGTGATTTCTCACCAGAAATTGCTTAAGTGAACGTGCCCTAAGATTGTATGTAATGAAAGACCTACTGGTCCTAAGCATCATTCCCTCTTGTCCAATGTCACTGTTTGCCCTGGAAGAGAGATTATGGTAGCTCAAATCAATCTAACAAGCAGGCACAACTGCCACAATTGGAAAGGGTGACTGGTGAAGCCTCAAGTAGTGATTACTGGGCTATAGCTAACTCAACTATGCTTGAATTTGATATGTTGCTTCACCACATCATTGGCCCTATCAAAGCACATCATATGATTCTCAAACAAAGGCATGTGAGAAATTCCCTCACGCCTTACTATTACCACCTTCTTATAACAGTCTTCTTCCAGGCTCCATATCCCTATCATACACTGTGTCCTTGTGGCAGTCACCCAACAACAAGTGCACATGGACTTCCTTTGAGGCACAAAGGAGACTTTTGGACGCTTGTTGATGAGTGAACACCACACGGACATGGTGCATACAAGTTTGACTTAACACCTGCAAACACAGAATTTTGTCCACCAGATAACAGAACCCTCCTTACCTGATTCAATCCAGAAAGCAGGTTAATACCTCTGGAATGATCTATCAATGCCCGACTCTTGTCAATGTTTGAGCTTTGACTTTGACCAACCTGCAAAATAAAAAACCAAGTGCAAAGAACCCAACAAGGATGATACCAAAGCCAAACCAGACATTTTGATTCTTATTCAGCCTTCCAGAAAGAAGAACAAGCAGAGCACTTCCTCCCAGCCCAAGAAAACTTGTGAGACAGAGAAATTACCTCAAGTGACAGATTCCTGTGAAATGAGGTTTCCCATTTCACACAGTTGCTGATTAGAAAAAATATCTCTGACTACTGTATCTTCCAGCACATCTCCTTGAATTTCACCAAGAAGATGCTACAGATCAATTCCAAAATCAAGATGACTGGGGAAGTCAAGAGGCCACCCCAGAAGTTAGACAATGATGATAGTGATCTAGCAGAAATGCAGGAATACTCTCATCCTCCAGTGTAAAGCAAAATGATGTAAGTATTTCAAATTGTCTCTATTTTTTATAGAGTCTTCTTTCTATTTATATAAGGTTTTATTGAATAGAAATCAAAGTTGATTTAGATAAACTATTATACAAGAGAGCTTTGTTCATTTTATTCTTGATTATGCTACAAATATTGTGTGAAAGAATTGAGAAAAGATATGTTTTTGAAGTGTTTTTATTTTATTCTTGATTGGAATGTGAAAAAATAATGATAAAATATTTTCTTTTTTTGGTGCTGCTGTGGCTGTGCCTTGCACTGCAACAAAGGTGTGGCACACCCCCACCTGTATACTTGATGTTGCAGTAATCTGTCAGAGATAACATGATCAGCAAGCAAAGATTGTTCTTTTGCTTTTCAATCTTACAGGGTGATATCATCTCAAGCCTGAGATCCACAAGTACCATCCTGTTATTGCTTGAGAAGCTTTTCAATACTTTGTACTACACCATTATGAGATTGAAATTATTCATCAATTTGCAATATTTCTGAATGCATCTTAGTGTCTCTACCATGTTTTCAATTCTGAATTACTCTCATTATTGATTATTGATTACCACTATCATTGATATATGTATGCACTTCCTCTTACTACTTTTCAAATCCAAATTTGCTGTGAATTTTACCTTTTCATGCTCTCAATCACACTATTGATCTTTCTTATACAAGCTTCAATGATGTCTGACCCAGTGGATGCATTTGCACCTTCTTTCTTGGGCTTTTTTCTTGCAACATGAATCTATCCAGTTCTTGATTTCTTACTTTTCTCTTGCAAGATTGAGTTCTCTTCACTTGATCCCTTTGAAAATCAGACTTTACATCATCCTTTGTGGCACCCCATAGATAGTTTGACTGATGAGCCAATTTGCCCACCCTTCTCAGTCATGAAAAACTCCACAAACATCCCCAATATTCTGCATTCTCAAAGTCTCCGCATTGCTTAAGCTGATCTTACAGGCACAGATTGCTACCAAGGAGGTGAATGTTACACCATCCACAGAAAAATTGTCACTGGTGTCAAACCACTACACTGTACTGCATATACTGATTACAAAAATTTACATAATCTTCATAACAAGATATGGACACCCTTCCGTTTGGTAAACCTTAAATGTTCAAAAGGGAAACAAAGGTTCTAGTGAACACTTCTTTTGCTTTTTGGTGCTACCCTAACTTCATTTGAAATGACTGCTTTCCTTGGATAGTATTTGTCTAAGTCATTCCAAGCAATGATGGAGATTCAACCCATTATATCGTTGAAGCCACCATAAGACATAAATCCAGATCTCATATTTGCAAAATTTGCAGGTGCTATCTAGTCTCGGTATGTCGTAAAAATCTGTACCTTGAAGGAGCTGCGATCCTACACAAGTATGTACCCATGCCCTGGTGATACTTATCATAAACATATATATTTCCAGTTTTTTATAACACTCTGGTCGAAACAAATAGGAAGCTACATTAATCTTGTATATTAAATTCCAAAGGTTGAATTACATCTGGTATATGACTGAGCCTAAAACACTAGCTACCGCTTTATAGATGTAAGCAAGTTGACTGTCGGTCTGGACCATGCAAACCTAATAAACATTAACATGTGAAATCAGTAAGCGTGGAAGTAATTACGTGGAAACGATAAGCATCACGCACCCGTTGTTCCCTTAAATGATCAACAGTCCGGGCTACCAAGTCATGATCTAAACCTGATGGTAGGCTAGGTAACCTCACTCCAGGCAGCCCAACTTGACCGAGCTGAGATTGATCAGATAGTCTGGCCGCCTTCTGTTGAGGAGTTAAGGCGCCAAATCCTGAACAAGACTTTCTCAAGAGGTTTATTCGTCGCATACAACTTGCAATCGCAATCAAGGTGCCGGTTCGACCAACGCCGGCAGAGCAATGTACAAGAAGAGGAACCAAGTGAGTCTGAAATGGTTGAGCACTTGTCATGGTCGAAGCTGTTATTGCCTCGTGAGACTCCAGTTGAGCTGCATTGATAAGCTCGATGATCGGTTCGACCTCTTCGGGCGTACCATGGTCTGGCCAGTCCACACATTCAAAGTGCGTCACACGACATTGAGGGAGCAAAGATGCTTCAGAACTGGCTGAGGAGTCATCGGCCTCACCTCGTCCAAGGGTGATCTTCAAGACATTCTTTTTGTAGAAACTTTCCGAAGTAGAGTTGGCCGTATGTGCAACGCCGTTTTCGAGGTACGATGGACCCAAGACAGATTCTTCTAGTGTGACGCTGATGGATGGGTAAGTCAACCCATCGGGATCATTATGAGAGTCTACAGTCTTCCAACGTGGTCGCTCATTCTCTCCGGCGTTCTGCCTGGGGAAAGGATAACAAGCGGAAAATTCGATGGTTTCTCCGATTTTGCTAGGCACATAAGGAGCCGATTTTTCTCTGTGACCTTCTTGACAGGCAGTGAGTTGAATGATTGTGCGGGGTCTTGAGGCCGGATCAGGGTGCAGGAATAGTGACAGAAATTCGTATCGAGTCTCGCGTGTAGGTCCCTGTTCAGCCAGCAAAGGATTCAAGTTAATGATAACCTTGGCCACCGGACTTGATTACTTTTTCTCAATCACCTGAGATGCAATCCAGCGCCTTGGACTATATTCATCGCCAGCAGGGTTGTCCTGGAGTTGAACCGAAGGATCAAAACCGGGCTCGTTGATCCAATTTGCATTAATATAATCACTGCGACAAATACTTTTGGGAATGTGAACCCGGCATGAATCGTAGGGTAAGATATTGCAATCTAAAGATTGATATCATATATTGTTGAGTTACGACCCGTAAGTGAAACTACAGTTTCAAGATCAGAGAATAGACACACATCTAAAACATACATTGATCAGGATACATTATCCTATCAATTTACTTCATGATCGGAGCGAATAAAATTGGGGCAACAAAATTCAAAAGCAAATGTGCTTTACCGATTTCTATGTTTGTTATCAGGTGTAGAAGCCGAATCGACCTGGTATGCAGTTTTCTTGGATTTTTTCTGGTTCACAGCTCGTTCGCCTTCACGTTTAGCCAGGGTGGTGTAGATCTCAGCAAATCGATTTGGGTTATTGAGTGCCTCAGTGCACCATGGAACAACTTGACTTTCATGTAAATGAGACATTGATGGGATCCAGTGACTGATTCTACTGTCGCGCCAAAAGAAGTTGAATGCTTTGATATGAGAATGAAGGAATGATGTTTTTGAACGTGTGGAGGCTGTTGACCAATTTCCCATCCTCATTTACACCTCAATCCGATTGCCCTCTCTTCCTTTCTTCCGCATTTACTCAACTTGGGTCGGGTCGGGTCGGCCCCGGTATGAGACTCCGTGAGTTGTTTGTGGACTTTGATCGATTCCTTGAACATCATGAGTTCATCGCGATATGCGTACTTTGACTTCATCCTCTAGTCGTTTTTAATCCAAGACTTTATCAATGATATAATGCCTTCGAATTCTACCAGACAACGTGGCAACTTGCCAGCACATGGACCCACACTCGAGTCAGAACTTGTGCATGAAGGTAGAACCTTGATCGTTACCTTGAATCGGCCTCGAAGCCTCAATGCTATGACGGATGAGGTGTGATACCATCCTCTCATATTCACAATAGACCCTCTGAAAAGTTGTATCAGAATCGAGCTCCATGATGTATGGTCCATCAGTTCGACTGATCTTACTTATATATCCTCGATCATTGCCTGGTGACCCACATCAACACGTTGCACCTCACAATGTGTATCAATCAAATCTTGACATTCAAAACATACCTGGCTCATCCCTTTATAAACTACTGTGGAACAGATGCAAGATGATTTACTTAGAGTATTTGATCATTTCGAAACCGACGTGTCCATCTGGGTTGCTATCATCACTGGCAACTCTTCCGGTTCAGTCAAATCTTTCTGCGCGGGTCAAGATTTAAAAGGCGAGTAGTGTTCTAGATTCGAATGTACAGAATCCTTTGAAAAATGTGTTCATAGATTGATAATGGATCGTTGCTAGAATGGCTAAGTAAATCAAACGAGAGTCAAGTGGAGCGACTGTTGCACAATCCACACGGCTTCGGTTCACTCTCGCGCCGCCATTCTCGCAAACCTATCATCGCTGCTGTCGACGGCCTTTGTTTGGGTGGTGGGATGGAGTTGATCTTAAACTGTGATTTGGTTGTGGCAACGGAAAAAAGTGTTTGAGTCTTATTCCCTATCTTGAATCTCCTTTTTGGTATTTGAAAATGGCAAACTGAAGTCAAGACGTTGTCACTTAAAAAATTGACATTCTGGTTTACATGGATCGCACTCTTGTAGACATTCGGGTTACCAGAGGTCAGTAAAGGCGTTATTGCCTCGCAAGGCGGAATCCCTCGATTGTTATATCAATCTGGTCGGGTTCTTGCCTCTGAATTACTATTGCTCGGGAAGCCTATCAGTGCCAGTGAAGCCCTAGATAGGTTCCGGATTATCAATCGAGGTATTCGTGCTCCGCACCTCTGTTCATCAAGCCTTTCCAACGAAGACTGATAAAGCTGTATTCCTTTCGATCTCATGGATGACCAATAACTCAGTCGTTCCAACTTCAGATGCTCTGTTACCAACTGCACTTGAATTAGCCAAACAAATCATATCAAACTCACCGTCAGCTGTCCAGCTTACTAAGCTATCCTTGCTTGAAACTTTCCGACGTGGGCATCATCAAGTTCTTAATCCAGATCAATTAGATATCTTGAAAAGCGAAGAACTCCACCTGGGCAAAGGCATTGAACAGACTACCATCTCTAGCTTCTTACGAGATGAATTTGATAGTTTGTTTAATGGTCCTGACTCTCAAGAAGGCCTCAAATCTTTCTCAGAGGTAAGCTATTCAATTCTTCAATGGTATGTGCGCTAGAGGTCATTATACGCACTGAAGTCTTAACTGTGGCTGCCTCCCATCAGAGACGTCGTCCTGTATGGACCAATCCTGAACCTCCGCCGTCTTATCGAAAAGATGTAACGACCACACCAAAGAAGCGACTTTCAAAGTTGTAAAAATCTGTATTCGTATTCGTGACCAGCTTTGGTCTCCTGTGAACCTAAACTAAAGTATACTAAGTATGTTGTCCTAGTCACTTCAATTGTAATATTTGCAACAATGTCCTATGTGTCAAGAAAGATTGTGTAATCTGTTCACCAGCACGGTAACTCATGTGTAAGCTTAACCTTGGGTACATGCAGTACATACCTGCAACCTAGTTGTCACATATTGTTTTCACTGAATGAACAAAGAATAGAAACACACGAGATCTGTTTAGAAGCTATATCTATAAACTGTATCTTGGTTGCAGGTCACTGGTTGTACCTGATCCTGGCCAATATTAGAGAAAGAAAGAAATTGATATAAAAAGAAAATAGCATAAGAAAAACAAGGAATGACATTTGTGTATGCACCTTTGGGAGGTAGCTATGCAGGATTGGTTCAGAGGTACAGCATCAAAAAAAGGTCCAGCAGAATCTCTCTGCCCCAGATGTCCAGTGCAGACAAAACACTCTTAGGTGCCAGGGTGATGTCCCTGTTGATCTTAAAGACATCTTATGGGTTGTGGGTGGTTTTTGACAGAGAATTATTTGCCTTCTCTAAGTCTTGGCTTTCCCTTGTTCTTGTTCCTGGATCCTTTCACATTGGACACACAGAGAAACAAAGAAGAAAAAGAAAGAGACTAGTGAGATTGATTTGGGTGTGAGTTTGATTGGTTGAAGGATATTGGTTAGGAAGGATTGTTGGTTGATGATGAGGAGGTTGATTGCTGAGGAGGTTCTTTGTTGAGGTGTGGGGATGGTTGAATTATCTCAAGGTGAAGTTTTAGTCAGGTGAGATAATGATATTTTCTTGAAGATCTTGAGGTGCAATGCCAGATGCTGTTTTCTTGAAATCCTTGAGTTGTAATGCAAATGTGAGTCTTGTGTCTCGTGTCTTGAGGTGATATCAGATTGTTAAATGGGCATGATCAGAAGGTTATAATAGCTCTGGGAGTTTAAAAAAGTCTTCTCTTGGGTTTGTCTGATAAGTTGAGGTGTTGCTTGGTGATTTGGCCTCTGTTGTAATGGTGGTCTTGATCTTGGGGGATGTATATTTGGTGCTGGCCTAGGCCCTGCCCTGTTATGGGCTTGTCTGTGTGGTTGGCAGGTTGTTGGGTTAGGGGGCACCTGAGGTGGTCTCAGTTGTGTTGCAAATGCCTTGTGCCTAGCTTGGTAGAACCTGGGTGTGAAAACACAGCCAAATGTGGAAAGAGCAGGGGTTAGTCATCAAATCTTTTTGGTGCATGCTTACACTGGCAGTTTTTGCCACAAGTTTCAGCTCTTGTCGAAGTCAACCAAACTTTTACAGATGATCAGTATGTGTTCAATATCTTCCTTTTGACAGCAGACCGCACAGTTTGGGTATCAGAGTTTTTGAAGTGGAAAAGATAGCTGTTCAACAGGTAGTGTGCCCAGAAGAGTTGGGCAATGAAAGCCATGTCTGGCCTGTTGAGTTTGCACAACTATTTGAAGTTTGCCTTGGGATTCATGACACCCACAAGCAAAGTGACTGCTGGTCCTGGGGGTTGTGCATCTGCCAAGGCTTCCAAGTTGATTTCAATTGTCTTTTTGATTGGCATTCACAGGGGCAAAAATTGATGCTCACAACTATGTGAGCGTTGAAATTTTCCTGTTTTGTTCCCATTTGTTTCCCATTTGTTTCCCATTTGTTTCCCTTTTCTTTCTGCTTGTCAGCTGATTACGTGATCATCAGGAACTGAGCAGACAAACTAAGCCTTCCTCAGCATTTATTCCTGAGAAAAGAAGTCTGAGGAAGGGCTGATCCATCTGCTCAGCTGATCCTGAGCGGCATTCCCTGGTTCAGTAAGCTCCAAGGGATGCCACCAATGTATAGCTTAGGGGCTGAGCTGAACTGAGTATTCCCTTAGCTAAGTCTCTGAAGTATCCCCCAGATGGATCACAGAGCGCCAAGCTTGCCTCAAGCTTCATGGCTCCGGAATGAAGCCTGAGGCCCGTCTGCTCATTCAACTGAGCTGCTCAGTTATTCCTCAGGGGCATCCCTGAGATCAGGAGGATCCGGAGGATTTCACTGCTCATTGGATGAGGGGCTGCTCAGTTATTCCTCAGGGGCATCCCTGAGATCAGGAGGATCCGGAGGATTTCACTGCTCATTGGATGAGGGGCTGCTCAGTTATTCCTCAGGGGCATCCCTGAGATCAGGAGGATCCGGAGGATTTCACTGCTCATTGGATGAGGGGCTGCTCAGTTATTCCTCAGGGGCATCCCTGAGATCAGGAGGATCCGGAGGATTTCACTGCTCATTGGATGAGGGGCTGCTCAGTTATTCCTCAGGGGCATCCCTGAGATCAGGAGGATCCGGAGGATTTCACTGCTCATTGGATGAGGGCCTGCTCAGCTAGTCCTCAGGGGCATTCCTGGCCGGATCAGAAGGATCCAAAGGATGTCACTGAGTATTGGCTGAGGGGCTGCTCAGTTGATCTCAGCCCCTCAGTGTGAAAAACTTTATCCGGGGATATCACTGAGGATTAGCTGAGCAATGAGCAGATGGGATGACGCTTTTATCAGGCTTCATTCCTTAGCAAGGAAGTCTGAGAAAAGTCCGGCCCATCAGTGATCCAGTCAGGGGATGCTACTGAGTATTTGCTTAGCAGCTCAAATGGGACGCCCCTAGGCAGGCTTCTTCACTGAAAAATGAAGCCTCAGGAAGGTATAGTTCATGTGCTCATCTTCATTTTGAACAAATTGCTGAGTATTCAGTGCCTCATGAGCTGATCCTGAGTACTCATCGGGAATCAGTTATTGCTCATCCAAGATGGAAATGAGCCTTCTCAATAAATGTCAAGTAAAATATGAGAACCACAGGATGATCACCTGAACACAAACAAGATTGTGAATTGAATCAATCTGAAAGAAAATGAATCTTTTTTGGAGAATTCCAAAAAGTCTACAACGCTCACATGTATGTGAGTATCTATTTTGGCCCCTGTGATTGTACTGGCAGACTGATCAATATTTGGCAAAGCTCTGTGGCTGCTTTTGCCGCCCTGTGGGCAATGACTCTCCCTTGTACTCCCAACAAGGATGGACACCAAATAAGGGAAATTCTGGAGTGCAGAAAGGGTCACTATTTTCAGAAGGCTTTGCCTAATACAGATGCAGTTTGCCATCCTGGGTTGGATCCTCAGTGGTTTGATTATGTTTTGTATGACACTCTGGCTGTCTGTGAAGAACCAGAAAGTTTTTGTGGTGTTGGATGCAGCATTCCTTGCATTTGATATCAGTAGCTGAATGCCTGCAAGCTCTGCCTGTTATGGGGTGTGGTCTTCTGCATTGCCTGTTCTAAGGTGTAGTGGCCTAAGAGGATCTGGTTGGTTAGTATCAAGGATCAGTGAAGCTGCTCCTGCCCCTTTTCTTTGGATATGGGAGCCATCACTGAAAGATATTTCAGTTAGTCTTTTGTTGATATTTAGATTTGTGAAGTCCACTATTGTTATGATCCTCTATCACGGATCATGGGAGGCTATGTCAAAGACTGTGACACTTCACCCTTGTTGGGTAACTGGAGACGCACACACCAGTTGTAGACCTTTTCCCTCACGCTACAATAACTATCATAGCTGGATCACACCTCTCTCCCTTTGCCCTCGCGCGCCAGCACCCAGACCCGGGTCCTAACACATTGTAGCGTCTTATCAAGGCAAACCGAGAGAAGCAAGAAGAAGATAAATTACTCATCAAAGTTAGAGAAGTCAAAAAGAAGAAATCACAAGTTTAAAAGAAGTTGAAAAAAATTTTAAGTAGAAGAAGTTGAAAATTTTTTAAAGTCACCCTCGAGTGGTATAAAGAAGAAGAAGTTATAATCAAAATTACTAAAGCCCATCGAAACCCATGTCCTATATTACACCCTCGTAACACTCCATCACGCCTACCTACGAACCCCCAACTGATCACTCCACAGCGGCATCCAATACCTCCGATTATCTGTCAACTGGTGAAATGGACGCTGAAACTAGTCACCCCGCTCCCACCATCGACTTACAAGCCATGGCCAACCAAATCAAGCAGCTGAGTCAACAACTGGCCGCCGAGACCGCACGCCGAACAGCAGCGGAGGCTGCGACTAAACCTGCGGCGAAGACTCCGAAAGTCACGACCCCTGATAAGTTTGACGGGTCCAGAGGTGCCAAGGCCAAGGCATTTGCAAGCCAAGTTGGACTCTACATCATTACCAACAAGGCGCTATTCGAGAACGACGATGCCAAGGTCATGTTCGCCCTTTCGTACCTGACTGGAGATGCTGTCAAGTGGGCGCAGCCGTTCTTGAACCGCGTGCTGAATCCGTTGCCGGATGCAAAGCCTCTCACCTACGACGAGTTTGCCCGTTCATTTGAAGCGGTATTCTTTGACAGCGACCGTCAGAAACGCGCCGAGGCTGCCATCCGAGTCCTCAAACAAACCCGCTCTGCTGCTGAATACACGGTTATCTTCAACCAACTGGCACCAACTACTCAGTGGGAAACTCCAACGCTCATCAGCCACTATCGTCAAGGTTTGAAGAGAGATGTTCGACTTGCCATGATACGCGAATCATTTGCCGACCTCGAAAGCATCACAGCCCTC